GTGTGTGTGTGTGTGTGTGTGTGTGTGTGTGTGTGTGTGTGTGTGTGTGTGTGCGGGTGTGTGTGTGTGTGTGTGTGTGTGTGTGTGTGTGTGTGTGTGTGTGTGTGTGTGTGTGTGTGTGTGTGTGTGTGTGTGTGTGTGTGTGTGTGTGTGCGTGTGTGTGTGTGTGTGTGTGTGTGTGTGCGTGTGTGTGCGTGTGTGTGTGTGCGTGTGTGCGTGTGTGTGCGTGTGTGTGTGTGCGTGTGTGTGCGTGTGTGTGTTATGTCATTGTCTTGGCATCGCTCGGGCACGTGCGCTTCTCTTGGCGAGGACCATCGAGGAGCCTGTTTGGGACATCCTGCGGCACAGACACGCGCACGAAAGCGAAACATGCGTTGGGAATGGACGCCCGGGCGATGGCCAGTCCTTGCCTGTTCCCCTACAAATGCCCGCCCCTGCCCTCCGACGGCTGCGGCCCGCGGCCTTGGAGCTTCAGGAAGCGGGCATGGGCGTGCTGGGGGCTTGGTCATCGCGCTGTTTCCGACTCCGTTTCCAGCGTCGCCCCAGTCTCACCAGGCACCAAGCCACCCCAATGTGCCCTCCATTCCAGGAGGGGGTCATCCGCCCCCCCCCGTTCCAACCCGAAGTTTGGGTATTCGGGCTGGGTTGGGGTGCTCTGGTAGGTATTCAACATCCCAGACATGCCCGGGTCGTGAGAAGGACAAGGCGGGAGGTTTTTGGCAGTTCGGGGCCTCTGGAGGCCCTTACCCGGCCCTGGCGCTGCAAAAAACAATTCATGACGCGGGGTTGGTTGCGGGGAAACGGTCGGGCCAGGATTTCTGGGGAGCCCGCTTCGAACGAATCAAGACATCGCATATTTGGGATGTTCCCTTCGCTCCTCCAGCTCTCCTCTCATCTCCTTGCTGCTCTCTCTTTTCTGCTTCCGCAATTGCCTCCCCTCCCTCTCCTCTTCCCCAAGGCCAGTGTGGTGATGCTTCGGCTCCCCTGAGCATGTATACGTATTTCTTGCGCTCCTCGGTTGCATCCTCATGGAAGCCAAGCCAGCTGAGCACGCGCAGGCGTTCATGACGTTGAGGAACGACGTGCTAGCGAAGGTCGCCCCAGCGAACCCGTGCTTGGGGGTGCGGGGACGGATTGGATTGGAATTTGATGAAAATGTGTAATACCGACCATCCACGCGATCAGCGACCAGAGTAGGTCTTTGTTGCAGCCTTGTCGCAACAAGGAGCATGCATCATGTAGGCAAAAGTACCGTCATTCTACAGTATGTCATATGCCAGTATAGGTGTATGTATATATATATATGTGTGTGTATGAATGTAATGTGCGTGCGTGCGTGTGTCCATACCTAAGCATTTATATATATATATATATATATTATATGATATGATCGATATGTATATGTATAGATTTCGGAATGTTTATATAGGATGTTGTGTGCGTAAACACATCAAACAGAGATGACGCTCTCCATTGGCTGCTTCGCGGTTTGCTGAGCATCAGGTTGAGCATGTGTTGTGTGCTTTCCGATTTGAGCATGGATTAACCATGCTGAGTGAGTGAGGGGCGCCTCGCACCCGCAGCCAGGCCGCTGACGCTTAGCGTCGCAGCATATGCTCTGCTCGCGCGGTGGCGCTTCAGCCAGTCTCCTGTCGAGCACGCGCGGGCAAGTCGGTTACGTGATATTCATTATTCTTGGGGGCTCGAACAGGACTAGGACGAGGATAAATCCGCTCCAGAGCGTTCTGGAGCGCCCTGAGAAGGCCATGGCGGGGGGCTGATCAGTGGATGCCCAAAATAGTAGATCTGGCCTAACGCAGCCTGGTAGTGGGCGGAGGTCTGGACCACCTCCCTGGGGGCAGGTTGCCGTCCTGAGCAGTTCCTCGACGGTCCCGAGGCCCGGCGAGGGCCCCCGGGAGGCCAAAAACAGCCCCAAAACGGCCCGCTCCAATTCTTGCTGGAGCATCGGATCTTTGGGGAGAGCAGGAGGAGGAGGAGGAGGAGGAGGAGGAGGAGGAGGAGGAGGAGGAGGAGGAGGACTGAGCAACCCCCGCGCCCATCCCAGTGAGGGGCGCCGGGCGGCCTGCGCGGGGGCCGCGAGCGCCCCCGCCGGGGGCCCCAGGCAGGGGCTGACCGACGGGGTCGGCGCGGCCGGGCGGCCGCTGGGGAGCGGGTGCCTCCAGCGGAGCGAGCTCCTGGAAACGACCCGTCAAGCAGTGACGGGGCGTCCTCCTCCTCCTCCTCCTCCTCCTCCTCCTCCTCCTCCTCCTCCTCCTCCTCCTCCTCCTGCCCCTCCTCCCCCTCCTCCTCCTCCTCCTCCAAGAATTTGTTGTGGTCTGCTCGAGACGTTCTCAGGACATGTCTGGTTGAGGCCGTGTTGCTTTAATACATCGGGTCGGCGTGCTAAGAGCACTGTGCTTGTTCCTCGAAGATTTATGGGGGTTCTAAGAACCTTCCGTGGTGGGCCTGCAGGAATGCCTGGACGGCTGGTCCCTGCTCACACCTAGAGGCAGGCCGCGCCTATAACATCGGAGTCGTGGGGATGTTGCTGAATCGACAACTTATCATTCGAGGAGTCAGGTGTGGCATGAGCAACAACTGTCGGAGGTCCACGCTGGTTTTCTTGGATTGGCGCTGGAGTCCCCTGGCGGCGCCCCCCGATCGCCAGGGGGAGGGTCAGCGCCGATCCAAGAGATCCGCGCGGATCTCCGAGAAGAACCGTCTGTGCAGTTGTCTGTTCCTCGGCTTACGCATGCAGCGGGCTAGTTACTAGCTTTTGATAGAGAGAGGCTGGGCAGGGGGGGGCCCGAGAGCCCGGCTGCGTACGCAGGGGGCTCGACGAGGTCCGCCGGAGAGCAGATATGGCGGCGCGGTGGCACTAGCGTCGTCTCAAGTTCGTGACCCGATGTTGTCTTGTCCTAGGACGTGTGCGTTATCAAGGGCTCCCACGAGGGCGCGAAGTTATTCGCGCTTCGCGCTTCGCGGTCCTCGTTCCTTCTCCCCCCTCCTCCTCGTCCTCCTTTTCTCCCTTTGGGGGGGCGGCGCGAGGGCGCGAAGTTATTCGCGCTTCGCGGAGCGCGAAGCGCGAAGTTGGGAGCCCTAGGTTATGTTGAACCGAGCCAAGTTGGGTGGAGGGAGGGCTCGCAGAAGCGCGGTGTCTCTGCCCAGCTGCTCTCGGGGTAAGCCTGGCCCCATGGCCCAGCGCCTCTTCGGGAAAGCCCACTGGAGCCCACTGGCAGGGTCCATTTCGAGCCGATATCGATCCGATTCGATGTCGATTCTGGCCGGCTCGATCCGATTCGAGTGGCTTCACCTGTTCCGTCCTCTTTCGGGGGCGGGCGGACACCCAATCTATTTCCAACGCCTTCCTACTTCATGTTTCTACCTACTTCTTCCGACCGATGGGTACCCACGCAGCCCGATCCGATGGACATGTGAAGTCGATGCGATGTACCGATTCGATGCTGACGGATCCTGCCCAAGGCCCGTTCTTGGCTCCAGGCGTGAGCAGGCAGGGCCAGGCACACTCGCACTCCAGGGCGTGCGCAGGGAGCTGGGGCGGCCAGGACGGGGGGGGGAGGGGGGAAGGTTGTTTAGAAGCACCCTGCTTCTTAGAAGGCGCGGGCGCCCCTTCTAAGAGGCCTGCGGCTGCTTCTCAGAAGCTGCTCCTGGCGTGTTTCTCTACGAAGCAGGTGGCTTGCTTCCGAGAAGCCGTTGTTGCTTCTGAGAAGCATTCTCCTCGGGGGTGGATAGACCTCCTACCCTGACACGTCGATTAAGGAATTGGCCGTTTTCGGTTCGCGAGAGGGCGTCGCTGCGGGTCTAGGTCCGTCGGTTTCGGTCTTAGGCCGCTTTCCCTAGAGGGCGGTTTGTCCACCGCCGATTCCCGTGCTGCTCAGCAGCTGCCCGGGTGCTCCTAAGAGGCGGCGCGCTTCCCAGGCCTCTTAGCAGGGCGGCCGGCCCCTTCTGAGCGGCAGCCGCCCTCGAAGAGGCCTGCCCCCCCCTGCCCAATATACCCCCCTGGTGCGCGCCGCCAAAGGCTGGCCAGTGCCATGGTGTATCTCCGCAGATAGCATGGCCCCCTCTCTCAAGCAGTGGCGAAGCGTCCTGGCTCGCCTATAGCCCTACCAAACAATGTGCTAAGAGCCTTTCGTGGTTCCCACGAAATGTTCTTAGAACATTTCTGGCGGAGTCTGTCTTGGTTTAACACATAAGGGATAAGGGTTAAGTTCTAAGAACATGGTGTTTGTTATTGGAAAGTTCTGGATTCTGAGAACATTTCGTGGTAGGACTATAGGAATGCCGGGACGGTCGGTCCCTGCTCAACTCTCCTTCTTTCAAAGTCAGGCGAGGGGAACTATGATACACCGATCCTGGCAAGGCCCATCCTTGACCCGGGATCGGTGCATATACCTTCCTAGCCAGGGTAGGAGGGCGTGTGCACCGATCCTGGGCTCGGGATGGGCCTGGCCATGATCGGTGTATGTGCATAGTTCTCTTTCCTCTACAAAGCGTACCTTGGGACCCCCATCGTCCGCGCACCTGCCTCGAGGCATGGCTTGCGAACCCCCCCTCTTGGACGCCCTGCTCTTGGACCCCCCCCGAACGAATGGGCGATGAGCATGCTGGCGCGGCCACGGGGCCCACGCTGGGCTTCGCGTCGCTGCAGCGCTCCCGGGCCACGGTGGAGGACTTCGTGCGGTCGTACTTCTCGAGGGACAAAAAACGCATGACCACGAACTGGCAAGCCTCCGCGCGGAAGTTCGAGGCTTGAAGGTTTCTGGCGCTCTCGCTGGTCCTCGACTGCTTTCCGGCCTCGGGATGCTCTCCAGCGGCTACGCCTGGCCGAGAGCGTTCCAGGGGTGCCAGGATCGTCCCGAGCGGCTGCCGGAGGCCCTCGCTTTGACGCGAAAACGACGGAGCTCCCCCTTCCCTGGCGTGCGGAGCGCGCCAGGGAAGGGGGTCCAGCGCAGATCCAAGAAATCCTCGCGGAGCTCCGA